CTGCTTATTAAGTGGGCATCATCTATACTATGCACTGAATCAGGCAAGGGTGACATGGAAAAATAGTACACTCTGATGATTCAGGTTTTTAATTTCATGATGCATACGTACAAAAGAGCCTTAACTTTGTATGCTTGACTTTGAAGTCTTAATTTTTAATGTACTTGTGTGTGTGTGTGATAGACCATCCCTAGTAATATCCAGTCAAGCACCTACACAACCCCAAAGGGTGGCCCAGCTCCTCAGGGAGAAGCCTGCAGAGGCAGAAGCTGTAGGGTGCAGGAGCACTGCACTCCCCTCAGGGGACCAAAGGGAAGGCACAGGCAGCAGCCAGCAGTATGAGCCTGTAGATTGAAGAAGCAACTTGCTGTCATGCCACTAGACAGAGAGAAGCAGCACTTTCCCCTTCTCTTCAGCTGGATGGCATGGCCATCTACTAATCTTTCTCAGTCCTCCACTCTGCAGGCTTACCACTGCTGGATGAACGGCAGGATGCAGCCCATGGTAGGAAGAAGGGGTGGCCAGGGTTTGGGGCTAGTGGCAGGAGCAGATACACAACACACAGCTGCTAGGGAAGCATGAAATTTTGGGCAATTTGGAGCCCCAAATTTTTGGCACCCTACCCACCAGTGTTGTTTGCTTATCAGTAGGGACAGCCCTGTGTCTAGGTAAATGAGGCAGAGTGAGGGGAAAAGAGCTTCTTCTTTCATGAAAGAACAAAAAGACATACAATGAAATTTTTAAAAGGTGGCAAATTCAAAATGGAAAAGGAAAAGCTTTTTCACACATTATAATTAGGCCGGGGAACTCATTGCCACAGGAAGCTACTGAACTTAAGAACTTAAGATACAAAAAGGGATTGGACCCACCTGTATTGATAACAAGAATATCTAGAATTATAACAAGGACAAAAAAATTAGAAGGTATAGTCATGCACCAAGGTTTAAGCCAATGTCTGTTAGCAAGTTGGAGGACACATAACAGAGGGAAAATATTCCTCATCTACCTCTGAACAAAGCTGGTCTTAGGGGTGGGCGAGCCAAATGGTTGCCCGGGTCCGCCATTTTCAAGGGCCCGCCAACAGAGCCAGTCTTAGGGGCGGGCTGCAACCGCATTTTGGCCCGACCTTCCAAATCTTCCTCCAGTTTTTTTGGGTTTTTTTGATTGATGCCCAGGGCCACCGATTGGTTAGGACCGGCTCTGCCTCAGAACAGTTCAAATCAAGTTCCTGTTGGAGACAGGATACTGGACAAAATGGAGCTCAGTTCTCATCTAGAATGGCACGTGAATGTTCCTGAATTCACTTGGGGCTTTGCTACCTGGAAGGCACTTAGGTCTTGTCTACACTGCCACTTTGCTGTAGCTTTCTTATTCAGGGGTGTAAAAAAAAACCCCCATACATACACCTCAGTGGATAGCAAGGCACAGTACTGTTTATACTGGCTCTTTACAGGTTCCCAGTGCTGTTAGCTACTTCCCTCATGGAGTGGAGGTGGTATAAGAGCACTAGGAGAATAATCTCCCAGCACTGGTGCTATGGCCATGCTGTCGTGGCTGTATTTTAAACTTACAAAGCCCTAGATAATGAGATGGCCCCCCTCCATGCTTACTGAAATGGATTTATGGACACGAATATGCATAACTCAAAGATGTTTTGGACAAAATATCTCATGTAACCTATCAATTTTAATGTCACAATCTGCTGGATTTGCATATCTTTTATGTATGTATTTCTCTTGTATGAAAAGAGAAATATGGAGTGGTTTTAAATGTGCAAATGAAAGCCATCAAGGATGTTCCCCTCAATGTCTGGATGATCACCTGTAAACAGCCTCCTTTGTCCTTTAAGTCTTGGCAGTGGTTGGTCCTAGGAACTATCATAGTGCAAATTGCGCAACTTATTTCAATGTTATTTCAAAATAAGGTGCTATTCCAAAATATCCCTTAAACCTCATGTAATAAGGGTTACAGGAATGTCAGAATAGTAAGCCCATTATATTTTGATATAACAGGTTTGCTCTTAAGACCCACAATAGTTATTTCGGGATACGGCCGCTGCGTCGACATAGCCTAAGGTGCCACAGGATTAACATTAAAAACAATTACAGACTTACATGTCTACCCCTTGAAATTTTAAAAAACTTTTAACTAGCTATTGATCCGCAAAGGGATTTTCCTTCTTAAACAGAGGGAAGGAATAAATGACCAGTTTTCACAATGGAAAGAGGTAAATAACTGGGTCTCCAAATAATCTGCAAAAGGGCTTAAGTATTGAGAAGGCAAAATTTGCTAATGATACAAAATTACTCAAGACAGTTACATTAAAAGACAACTTGAGAAGAATCTCAAAATTGCACAAAATAATACACGAAATCCAATGTTTATAAAGGCAAAGCAATGAACTATGGAAAACATCCCTGACTATAAATACATACTGAGTAGTAACAGCTAATTTAGGCACCCTCAAGAGAAATCTTGTGGATAGTTCTCTGAAAACATTTCCTCAATGTATAGTAGAAGTCAACCAAAGCTAACGATGTGAGGGACCACGAGGGGGAGGGAATATAAAATGAAAGAGAAAAATAGTATAATGCCACTATATAAATCCATGCTATACTCACACCTTGAATACTGTGTACAATTCTGGTTACCATCTTTAAAAAAAAGACAGCAAAGAATACAGAGAAGGGTAAAAAAAATGCGTCAGGCCTATGGAACAATTTCCATATGAAAAGAAATTAAAAAGATCCTATTCAGCTTGGAAAAAGAGAGGACTTTGGTAAGTCTAGAAAAGTAGTGTGCAAGTTGTGGTCTACAGACCACTGTATGTCCACAAACTGTGTCCAAGCTTTCCAGAAGAGCCTGTATTCCATTCAGAATTTGAGGTTCACAGACTAAAGACTCAGAGTCACTGGTCTATAAAATTATGAATGGTGTGGAAAATATGAATAGGTATGTGTTCACATTACACCGAACAAGGGATCACCCAATGAAATTAACAGAAAGCCTTTGGAATTCATTACCCCTGGACATTCTGCAGGGAAGAAGTATCAATGGGTTCCAGAAAAGTCATGAGTTCAAAGAGGATACATCCATCAATTGCTTTAGTCAAGATGGTCAGGGGCACAATCCCATGGTCCAGATGGTCTCTAAACCACTGATTGCCAGAAGCTGGAACCAGATGACAAGGGATGATCACTCCATAGTTGCCCTGTTCATTCCTTCTAAATCATCTGGCATCGGCCACTGTCAGAAGACAGGATCCCATGCTAGATAGGTCTTTGGTCTGTTCCAGTATAGCTACTTCCATATTTTTCCTATTTCTCTATTTACTCTCAATCATTCTCTTCTGTTCCTTTCCCACTCAATTAAACTTTTATCTTTATAGTGATGTCATTCCATATAAGTACCAATCTTAACATATTATTAGCAGCTTCGAGTCCACAATAGCCAAGTCACTCTTTCTACCCCTCCCCACCTCGTTTTTATTGAGGAAAAAAAAAAGTCTATCGGTGTGGGTTCTCAGCCCTACAAGATTTTAGAAATCTTCCCTCTCTGCATCATCTACAAAAGGGTACTTCTACCTTGAACAGACTTATAGAGGTTTCTTCTTCCCAAGGTTGGCTTGGGTGAAGAGTGGAAACATCATTTGCAAGCAATAACTGAGAGGAGGTGAAATTGAACAGCAGCTGCAGAAGTGACTTTAGTTTAGAGTATATAAAATAAACTTTTAGAGCAGACCAATGACACAGACTTATCACTTGTATACAGGTCTTGTTTGGTATAAACACCCATTCCCTTTATTTCACTTTCCCAACCCAAACCTAGAACAAGATCTTAAACCCTCCCTCCCAAAACACCATATAGTGATTAACTCTCTGAGTCCTCAAGAGACCACAATCTAAACTACTTACATAGTCCTTCTTATTTTAGCACACAAGAGGTTTCTCAAACTATATATGAGTTCTTTCTCCACTCTTTTCCTATCTCTTTCATCATCCCCTTTTAGAGATTGGCTTACAGATTGGTCTGCAAGTACCATTTAAAACAAATCAAGGTTAAGGTCTGCCTACAGCCTCTTCTTTTAGTCACCCTAAATTCACAACTGATCCATGCAATCTCAGGGACAGCAAGATGCAAGACTCTTTTGCCTTGCTACTCAATCCATATAATCATCCTTTCTCCCACCCCACCACCTTTTTTTCTGGAGAACAGGGCTTTCCCCTTTTAAGCTTCCCCCCCTCCAGGCAAACAAGCCTTATAGGTGTGTCTGGTTAGTGCTGGCTGGTCTCAAAAGGAACTTGTTAGCCATTTCCCTCCTAGAGAGAGAGGATGTGCCCACTCACAGGGCAAAACAGCTGAGCTAGCCATTTCAAAAAGAGATGATTCCACATTGTCTACCAGATCCGAAAAAATGACTTTAGGTTAGAGTGTGGATCCAGCTCTGAAAGTTGTGACAGATACGCCCCTGATTATACTGGCATGATACTACACCGAATGTAAACACCCTCAGATGTGGGGAAGTTCAGATTTTTACTTGCAAACTTCCTGATTTGGGGCAATGACTCGTTTCTGACCTCCTCCGCGTGCCAGCAAGGTAGCGCTGCAAACAAGGGCACGTCTAGCCACTGCAATCGGAGAGTTTTACGGGTGACAGACTGGAGAAGGGGAGGAAAATGGTGTTTTGGGAAGATGAAGGCGCGCAGGGCACCGGAATCATGAAACCTGCTCTCCGGCCGGCCCCCGGGCCGTAAGGTTTCCCCGCACACGGCTCAGAAGGCAGGTGTTTAGGGAGGGAGTCCACAGGACAGAGCCGAAAACGTGGCCGAGGAGCCTCAGTGCTGCGAGCGGAACACACAGCAATTCGCAGCTTCCTTTTTCTTAGCGGCCGCCGCGTAAAATGAAAGTACAGGAGCTTCACCGGGGGCTGGGCTGGCTGCTCTCCGGCGGGGCAGTGGGAGGAGGAAGAGAAAGGGGCGGCCATCTAATTGGTGACCGGCCCCCGGGAGGGCCAGGCTTCAAGGCAAGCTTGCGCCGCAATAGCGGCTCTAGGGCTCAGCCTTCCCACAGCAGCAGGAGCAGCGCCCTTCGGCTCCAGCCGCGCCTGCAGGTAAGGGCTGGGGGCGCCTCTTTTCCCACCTGCCGCTCGCTACACTGTGCAGCAGCGAGGCAGGGAGGCGAAGGTGTGGGGAAGGGGCAGTGTGCACCCCCTGGCGGGTGGGGGAGCTGCTCTAACAAGGAAGAAATAAAGTTTCAAAGGGGTATCCGAGTTACTTTGTAACAGGAAAAACTTAAAACAACAATGGTCTGGTTGCACTTCCTAGACTAACAAAACATGTAGATGGTATCGCGCTTTCGTTGGCACAACCCACTTCTTCAGATGACGGGAATGTTGATTCCGATCATCTGAAGTGGGTTATGCCCACGAAAGTACATGATACCATCTACATATTTTGTTAGTCTAGGAAGTGCAACCAGACTATTTGTTGTTTAAGGAAGAAATAGTTCTGCCGAGAGAACGCCCACACTGTGCTCCTCTTTCCCAGAGGTTTCGTTCTTTCCAGCCTTGGGCACCTTAAGACCAAGGCTCAGTGAGGGTTGTACCCTATCCAGGAGGGCTAAGGGGTGACAGGTCCTAATCTATGCCATGTGCCTAAATACGGCAATGATAGATAAATCCGCACTAACTAGTAATTTAACTGAAGGTGTGCTGCTCCTGTTGCGTGTGGGGACAAGGGAGTAAACAAATAAGTAAAATAAAAAAACTAAGTCTCATCAGTTCTGGAAAGGGTGAGACAAATAATTTTTTGCATGACCTGATAGACTTTCACGATCATTTCATAAGTGAGCAAGTGCAGAGTTTACACATTAGCATGTTTCTGAGAACACTTCACAACTTGTGATACTAAGTATAGATCAGTGTTTCTCAACCTTTTTTTATAAAGTACCCTTTAAAAAAAAAGTGTACCCCCCAGTACCAACAGTTTTCAGATACACAATTTTTTCTACCATTGTAACACATTCTACCATTGCAACTTAATTGTAGCTGGGTGGGCAACGAAATTTTTGCATGTAAAAAGTACAAAAATACAAAATCGCTGTAAAACTTAACAAAAATTCAGTTCTCCAAATTTCAGTTGTGTTGACTTACCCCCCCAGACTTCTCTCAAGTATCCCTGAGGGTACTCATACCACTGGTTGAGAAACATGGGTATAGATGAAAAAAGTTCTCTACGCAGTTTTAAATCTCACTGCAAACACCCTCAGCAATCGCTTAGAATTGTATATTGCTTATTATGTGACATTGGACTTGAGTGTATTTTAGGGATTGTGAATTTTTAATTTTTAAAGAAAGCATTCAGAGACTGGTTGCTTACAATAGCTAAAAATGGAAGTAAATAAGATGGAACTGATGGACAATGTTGCCCTGGAACAGCATTTTATTCATGAGTGAGGTGTCATGATATTATTGTATCTTATAATTTGATGATAAATTAAAAAACCCTAACTTCATTATTGTAGACTCTTTTGGAAACATGAAGAATTTTGACATCTCTAATAATTTGTAATCACTATAAAAAGTGTGTAGTTTTTATTCTGTTTTAGGATTGGTCAATGTGTATGTTTATAAATTAACAGTGCAAATACAATACATTGTAAAATGTTTTAAGTTTTATGCAGATGTTTATCTCAAATATTTAAGACGTTTTCTTTTTAGAAGACAATGCAACTTTGTACTTCATATGGTCTAGACAAGTGTTTCCACATTTTATTTGGCCTTGGAACTCTTTTAAACTAGAAAGAATTTTGCAGAACCCCTAACAATAGTCTAATATATGGAACTGAAAAAGTAGACTACAAATAAGTAAGGATAATAATAAACATGCTAAACAAGGTCATGAGATCAAGATTTAGTTTAACTGCACATATTTAAAAACAAAAATCACATTTAATGTGTACAAAAAATTTTTTAAATCATAAAATGTTATTTTGATGGAATTTTTTTGTGGAACCCTTATTTTCACTTCATAGAACCCCAGAGTTCCGCGGAACACCATTTGGGAAACACTGATCTAGATGGTGATTGTGAAAAGATGCCTATCCTTTATTAGTCAGTGATGTTTTACTTGTTTTAATGTTTTCATTTACCTTTGTTTTCCCTGGTATCCCTTTTCTTGCTGCTGAAATTTAAGACTTTGTTTATGCATGTGTTTGTATAAAGGTTTCACTAATAGCGGTCTCTCTCTCTTCCTTCCCCCACTCCTTACAGAAATGAGCCAGATAACATGGTACAAATATCAGAGAGGTCAACACAATAATATTCTGACATGGTGTGCTAGTAGTTGTTGTAATAAAAAAACCTGATTTTTTCCATCTGAACATTTTGAGGAATGTACATGATTTACTAAGTTTATGTCTAGACTGCAAGCTTCTTTCAGAAGAACCTTTTTTCAAAAGAGATTTTCCAAAAAAACTTCTTCTGAAAGAGAGTGTCCACACACAAGTGCATTGAAAAAGCGATCTGCTTTTTTGAAAGATAGTGTCCACACTGAATGGACTCTCTCTCACATTTAAGCTGTGATTACTATGGATGGAGTGGCCACCAGTGCACCTGTGCTTTTTCCTCTTCTTTCCAAAGAACTCCCTCTTCCACATCCACACACACCTTTTTCCAAAAGAGCTCTTTTGGAAAAAGGCTTCTTCCTCACAGAAAGAGGTTTACCAGTGTCAGAAATCCCCTCCTGTTCTGTCTTCCCCTTTTCTTCCTCAATTTTTATTAATATATTTTTAGAAAATAAATACATATAAATGTTTCACTCTTTTTTTGGTAGAGTGGGAAAGCTGAGAATTAGCTGGAACATGTATGCCATTTCTGTCTTTTTAAAAATAAAACAAGAAACAACTAGTAGTGACTGGTATTTGATTATTGTCCTTGTATGCTGGCAATTCTAAGTCACTCTGCCTCATGCTAAACCTTTCAGACCTTTATTCACAGTAAGGATAATAAAAGTAGAAAAAATACCATGCCGCACAACTCTACCAAAAACTAAAACTATTACAAACAATAAGGCTTGGTTTTATAACTGGAGTTTTAGAGGTTTTACACAATGGCTGATAGTGGTCAGAATAAAACATGCATTTAGAAAAGAAAGGGGTTTCTTGAAAGTAGGGTGGGGTGGACTTTTGGAAAGGGTTGGGAGCAGGAGTCAAGGGAGATCAATTCCTAACTGTAGAAGCCAACACAGTGAAGAGCCTGCTGTGTTAAGCATAATCTCTAAAAAGTGAGTGCTCTATTAAAATGAGGCAGAGTGAGATAGAAATTCTTGAATATAGACAAGCTCTACCCCTTGAATGATGTTGCTCATGGTATTTGTATTATATCACCCAACTATTTTCAGGGGGAAAAGGGTACCTATATGTGGTATAGATAACCCCATAAGAAATCCTGTTAGGACCAAGGTCAATATACTGTCTAACCCTGGAACACAAAATTGAGACACTATCAGTTTTACCTCATAAAATATTTTCTGGCTAAAATAGAGAGATTTAGCTTCCTCACAATTAATTCGTACATTTTTCTCTGTCATTTTAAAAGTCTGTTTGCATTTCTTATATGTTTATACTAAGTTGTGAGTGAAGTAGTAGTTCTGGGTGCTATTTTAATTTTCAGCCATGAACCTGGATGATATTTCACTTGTAGATTATAATTCAGTGTGGGAGAGCTATAGGACTGTCTTGAATTTTTGAACTACAGGATTATTTTCTAGAAAAAGCCAATCAAGATTATTTTTTAAATGCCAGTGATAGGAAAAATCTACCACTACTGTTGGTATTTTGTTAATTATCCTCACTGGTTTAAAAAAAAGTGCACCTTATTTTGTCTGAATTAAGAATCAGTTTCCAGCAACTGGGTCTAATCAGTCCTGGTCTGCTAGAATGAGGAGCCTTTTGTTACAGAATTGTTGTCCTTCACGCAGGTACTTATAAACTATGATCACGTTAGCTCTCAGCCTTCTCTTTATTAAGTCAAATAGATTGAACTCCTATATCCACAAAGGTATTTAGGAGCCTAAGTTCTAGTTTTAAGCGCCACTGTGCAATTAACAAAACCTTCTCTTGGCTGCTGCTGCCTACCCTGGTAGACACCTACATTCATTTGGTACTTGAGTTTTTGCTGTGAAAGTACCCTAGACACCTATATTTCTGCCTCGGGGAATGTGCTTTAGGGATGTTAAATTTAGTTTAATCAGCTAATCGACTAGTTGATGAAATTTTCATCAACTAGTTAATATGCTGGGGAGCTACAGAGGGGTTAGCTCCTGGCTCTGGGAGTTAACCCTGCTGTGGCTCTGCCTTTTAAATGCCAGCCCTTAATACATTTAAAAGGCTGATGCGCAGTACAGGAACCTGGCGCAAACTGGAACAGCTGGATTCCCAGCTTGTGCCTGGTCCCCCTCCACTGTGTTTATGATTTTTAAATGTATTAAGAGTCTGCCAGGTGTATTAAGAGTGCACCTCTGCTTTTAAAATGAAGTGTCTGAAACTGGGCATGAGCTGGGAATCAGCTGATTCCTAGCTCGCACAGGTCCAGCTAGCTCTCTGCCTCCCCCCGCCCCACCCCAGCAGAGATAGTGCTGGGAGAAACTGGCTTTTAAGCTGGCTCCCTCCAGCACAAACTCCTGCTTCCCCTCTTAGAGGCAGCAAGGGGGGGGCGGGACAACTAGTTGAGGGACTAGTTGACAATTTGATAAGCTTTTGCTTATCGGATAGTTGGCTAGTCAATTAGCTCCCTAATGTGTATTGCTGCCTCATTAAAAGAATCCAGATGCCTGTGTCCCACCTAAAAGCTGCACATGATCTTCTGGCATTTATCTGACCCATAAGGCTCAATCTGGTTTGTGGTCTTTGAATGTGCCTACCAATTTGAGTCCTATTTAAAATCTGTCCAGAGGAGGCACCACAGCTCTTTTAGCTCAGTTTCTTACACTCACCTGAGATGTGAAACACTCAGGATCAATTCAGCCCTCTGTCTGATAGAGCATTCTCCTGTTAAAATTCTAACTATTGAAGTAGGGGATATGTTGGTGTGGGTCTCTCTCTCCTGTTAAA